AAAATCTGTCACATACACTCAAGGGAATAAAAGAATAAAGCACTAACATATCTAAAATACAGATAATTCTCAAAAATACTAATGCTAGGTAAAAAAGCCTGACACCCAAGAATCACATATCATATGACTCCACTGATAGCAAATGTCTGCAACAGGCAAAAGTACAGAGACACAAAGTAGATTAGAAGTTACCTGGGGTTAGGGAGAATGAATGAATTGAAGGGAAATGGTAAACTGGGGCATAGCTTATTTTATGTTCTTTTTTTTTTTTTTTTTTTTTTTTTGGAGACAGAGCCTCAAGCTATCCCCCTGGGCAGAGTGCCATGGCTTCACTGCTCACAGCAACTTCCAACTCCAGGGCTCAAGCGAGTCTCCTGCCTTAGCCTCCCAAGTAGCTGGGACCAAAGGTGCCCGCCACAATGCCCGGCTATTTTTTGGTTGCAGCCATTATTGTTGTTTGGCAGGCCCGGGCTGGATTCAAACCCGCCACCTTAGGTGTATGTGGCTGGCGCCTTAGCCGCTTGAGCCACAGGCGCCGAGCCTTATTTATGTTCTAAGAGTGATTATGGTGATTGTTGGGCATCTCTGTGGATACACTAAAAACTATACTAAACTGTACACTAATAGGGTGAGTTGTATGGTGTGGCAATTGTACTTCAAAAAAAGTAAAAAAAAAAAAAATCAGCATATGGGCTAATTTTTTTTTTTTAGTGACAGTTTCACTTTGTCACCCTTGGTAGAGTGCCGTGGTTTAACAGCTCACAGCATCCTTCGGCTCTTGGGCTTAGGCGATTCTCTTGCCTTAGCCTCTTGAGTAGCTGGGACTATAGGCGCCCACCACAACGCCCAAATATTTTTTTTTGCAGTTTGGTTGAGGCCAGGTTCGAACCCGCCACCCCTGGTATACGGGGCCAGCACCCTACTCACGGAGCCACAGGCGCTGCCCCATATGGGCTAATTTTAAAAGGTTCCCACTGCATCAAAAATGCAGGGCTGGCTCAGCACCTGTAGCTCTGTGGCTAGGGTACCAGCCACATACACCAGAGCTAGCAGGTTTGAATCCAGCCTGGGCCTGCCAAACAATAATGTCAATTATAACCAAAAAACAGCCAGGTGTTGTGTTGGGTGTCTGTAGTCTCAGCTACTTGGGAGGTGGCTGAGTAAAGAGAATCACTTAAGCCCAAGAGTTGGAGGTTGCTGTGGAGCTGTGACACCACGGCACTCTACCCAGGGTGACAAAGTGAGACTCTGTAAAAAAAAAAAAAAAAAAAAATAAGGGCGGCGCTTGTGGCTCAAAGGAGTAGGGTGCTGGCCCCATATGCTGGAGGTGGTGGGTTCAAACCCAGCCCCAGCCAAAAACTGCAAAAAAGAAAAAAAAATACAGGGCTGGTCTCACTTCCATAGGGACCCACATTCTGTCTCCTTATAGGTCTGCCAGCTCCTAGAGCCCTCTATGCACTAAGGGGCCAATAGTCAGGTGAGGGACAGCCGCCTCCTGTAAGTTTTGACCAGTTCCCTAGCCCCTTTTTATGTCCCTAGTTCCCTAGTCCTCCCCACCACCACCACCCCTTTTTTTTTTTTTTTTGCAGTTTTTGGCCAGGGCCGGGTTTGAACCCGCCACCTCCGGTATATGGGGCCAGTACCCTACTCCTTTGAGCCGCAGGCGCCACCCCACTAGACCCCTTTTATGTACAGCCCAGCCAGCAGACTCACAGTCTGAGGTGTTCTGACCTCCCTAAAGGGGACAGGGGTTGCTTGCCACACAGGTAGGGTTGCACTGCTTATTCCTGGGTTGACCCTCAGCTCAATATAGTCAAAAGCTGCCACCTGCCTTCTCAAAATTGTTGCTCTATGGCATTTTTATGACACAACTTCAAGGATGGATTCTTAATCATCATCTGCACTCAGAGCCCCTGAGGTAGGACAAGGTCTTATTTGTCACCATAGCCACAGCATTGGGCACCTGGCACACTGTGCTCCGGCTACTGTGGGGAGAGAAGGCTGAGTCAGGAGGCCCACAGGGCACTGCACAGCTCTGACTCAAGAGTCTGCAGCTGCTGCTGCAGGGCTAGGTGCCATCTGCTGAGAATGAACCCTCATGGCATCTCCACAGACAGCTGCGAGCCTTATGTACCACCAGCTGGATTCAGAGGCCTGTGCAGGCCCAGGGACTCATACTTTTTTTCCTCACCACATGTGAGCAAGGAGAATGCAGCCCTCAGTGGTGAGGCTGCCTGCCCACTCTTCCAGCCAACCTCACCCTAATTTTACATCGTGGCTTCCCTCTTTGCAAGTGCAGGGAAAGCCAGCATCTTGCTGAGCTTAACAACATGTTTCTTTATTTGTTTGGGACAGAGCCTCAAGCTGTTGCCCTGGGTAGAGTGCCATGGCATCACAGCTCACAGCAACCTCCAACTCCTGGGCTCAAGCAATTCTCCTGCCTCCGCCTCCCAAGTAGCTGGGACTACAGGCGCTCACCACAACGCCCAGCTACTTTTGGGTTGCAGCCGTCATTGTTGTTTGGTGGGCCTGGGCTGAATTCAAACCCGCCAGCTCAGGTGGATATGGCTGGCGCCTTAGCTGCTTAAGCCATAGGAGCCGAGCTAGCAACACATTTTTCAACCTCATGAAGGGGCAAAGCCTTGGACTAGAAAGACCAATTATGTCCAACAGCAGGTTCCAAGCTGCTCGGGGAGTACGTAGGTTCAAGTAGCAGAGTTAGCAGGACCTGATCATTCTTGGTCCACATTAGTTAGAAGCCTCTCAGATGCTGATAAAGCCCAACCCACAACAGCTGAGGGGACACTCTCAGGATATGGCCCAAGGCCTGCACCCTGGTGGCCAGGCCCCTGCACTCCCAGCCCTGCCTGCGGCCAGCATGCGGAAGCTGCCAGCTCTCTCTGGCATGTACCTTAAGCCACTGCTTCTCCGTCAGTGAGTCACTGTAGTCTACCTCCTTGCGATGGCGGGAGCCGCGGCCAAACATCTTTTCCTCCTCTTCCTCACAGGTCAGCCGCTCCACCTCAGCATCATCCTTGATGATCCACGAGGGGAGCTCATCCTCCTCCATCAGGCGCGGCTTACGCTTGGGATTGCGGGCCTCCTCGCGTCTGCGGTCCAGATCCATGCGCTGGTGAGCCCAGGTAAGAGGACAAAGAGAGAGAGGCATCAGCACAAGGCAGGGCCAGGGGGCCAGGAGGGGACATCTGGGGTTCAGAAGGGGCTATGGATCTGTCTATAGGGACAAGCACTGCCTCAAAGTTAAACAGCAGTTCTGGGTTTTTGGATGGCTAACCCAGCCCAGTTGCTATGTCACACCCTGACTAGGGACTCTACTTTGGGTGGACAGAGAAAACCCTATGATAGAATGATAGAAATGATAGAAAGGTCATAGAAGAGAGGCTGCAGACCCCAGTAGAGGGTGGAAAAGGTGGCAGTTTCAGGGCATAGCATGGTGGAAGCATAAGGCCTACAGGATGAGTATTCCCCCCCACCCCGCCCCATGCCAACCTTGTGCTTTCATAGTTTTCATACTGGGGGTCTGTGCCAAAGGCCCTTGTTAACCCCCTCAGTTGACTCCTTCTGAAAGGGAATTGAGCCCTCAAGGGCCATCAGCATACAGACTCAACAGGAATGTCATCCGATGGCCACACACAGAATGAGGCACATGTATATGCCACCATTCCCATCTCTACAACATGGTTTTGAGGCCAGATTCTGCCCAATGTTACCTGCTGCTGGTCAGTTGGATATGAAAGCTGACCTCACTTTTTTTTTTTTTTTTTTGAGACAGAGCCTCAAGCTGTCCCCCTGGGTAGAGGGCC